CTGGCCACACACACACACACACACACACACACAAATAAATAAAATTTAAAAAAAAAATTAAAAAAAAAAGAAGAAAGGATGAGGCAGGGAGATGCCAAGGAAAGCCCATCCTCAAAGTCTGGGAGCCCTGGGCATACACCCTGCGTATGCTAGAGGGGGACAGCCACCTCCCCCAGGGGTGTGCGGGCTGCAGGGGGCACTCACTCTGCGAGCGTGAGGAGCCCCACAGCTAGATACCACACACAGCAATGAGAGGGCCAGAAGCAAAGTCTGAGGTGTGCAGGATGAGCAGGGCTCCCAGATGCACAAAACCTTCTGTGCAGACAGGGAAGGCGTCCTGGAGGCCATCAACCTGCGCAAGCCACAGGGGGAGCTGCAGAGGGGGTGGGTGGATGTGCAGGGAGGGGACAAAGGGGACAGAGCTGTGCCGACTCCCCACCGGCACAGCATCCTTACCCTTTAACTCCTACTGCTGACGCAACCGACAGCTGGTTGGTCTGAGCTGCGCACACATCCGTGGCCACTGGCTCCTGCTTATCTAGTATTCTAGGGTCAAGAACTCCTCTGGGAGAGCAGTCTTTCCTTACTTCCTCATGCCCACATTTCCTTTTGGTTGGTTTGTCTTCTGAGACAGGATCTTGCTATCAGTTTGCGTCGGCCTGGCCTTGCCAGGGACCGGGGCCACGCTCCAGCTCACAGTGAGCCTCCTGCCTCGGCTCCTGAGGGCCGAGGTGTGTGTGACCACGTCCAGCCCCACATCTTCCTCTGAAGGAATTCCAAGTGCCCTTGGCCCAGGCCAGTGGCAGCCCTGCTCACCTCAGCATGGCCACGATGCTGCCAGTGGCCTTCAGCTCCCGGATGTCCTGGTCCCGCACGGGCGCACACAGCTTGCCCATCATGCCGATGACATAGGCGGCCAGGCCTGGGACATCCACGGCACCGTGCGCAGCCTGCTGTCTGATGAGGTCCGTGTCCAGCACCTCACAGATCTGGGTGCGGAGCCGGTTCCCACCCGGAGTGAGGAAAGAGAGGAGGATCTACAGAGCCAGGGAAAGCAAGACAAGAGCATC